CGCACCTGTAGATGAGCATTCCATAAGAATTGCTCCAGAGAGGATCCAGAATGTCTCTCTGGAAGGTGATGTTTTAACCATTTCTCTCCACAGGGACTATGTTGAATCTGTAGATCTGGCAGGTCATGCTCAATTCCTTGCCAGAATTGAAAGGGTTAATAACAACTTATTCTTTCCTATGCAAATAAATGACTTAGGAAGAAGTAGGAATGCAAAGCTGGACTTAAAGAGTGAGAACAGCTATATTAGCAGAAGTCTGTTAAAGCAGATCGCTAATCCTAAAATGATCAGGTACGCTTCCCCACATGACAGGTGGATCCAGAACCTGGATGGCGAATCAGAGAGTCACAATGTGATAGCAAAATGTTTACTATCTATTTCCATCGGAAATAAGACCGTTAAACATTTATTCTTAGTGATAAATGAACCTCGCTATCAGGTTTACGTTGGCAATGATGTCATACATCGCTTTGCCATACACCTTGACCTGATTAATTCCAACTTGTGGACAAGGTTAAAAGGTAATCCTTGTGGATACCTACATGAGGAAAACGCCCTGAAATCAGGACAAATACTACCATATGCGGTAAGTATCCAAGTTCCTGATGACATAACCATTCCACAGGGGACAAGTAATTTTCTTTTACCCATACAGGTCAAGGAAGGTCAGAGATTGGAAAACTCTGATGCCCTAATCTGTTTATCCAACAGGATACAACAATTAGGGATGGTGGTAACACATACACCAATGGTAAGTATTGGTAAGAATCCCACCTATATCATGGTCAACAATGTTACACCCAATAGTGTTACTTTACCAAAAGGAACATTATTAGGTCTAGCATTGGATGCTGAGTACTATACATTTGGTTTCCAAAACCAAATTATAGGCCTCATCCCTGAAGAATACTTAACTGAGGACGAAATTGTCGATCAAATATTCCATTCCTCCCCAGAAGGATTATTCACTATCCTATCTGTATATCCCTTCAACGTTGAAGAAGGCTCGTGTAAAATCGAAGAAGCATCTATCACCTTCGATCATCCGCTCAATGAGCAGGAATCACAAGAGTATCTCGACCAAAGAGAAAAGGTAAGTCAACACCGAACTGACCTAACTTCTAGGCTTGAAGAAGCTTATGAGATAGGCCAGCCTGAAATCTTTCCAGGATTTCAGGAAAGGCTAGAAGAGCAAATATCTTTAGCTGACGGTTGCTCCAACGATGCTGAGCGACAGCAGCTAAAGGAAATCCTTTTGGAATTCCAAGATATTTTTGCCAAAGATTCCTACGACTGTGGGTTAACTAACCTCCACGTAGCCAGAATACAAACTGATCCAAATTTACCACCTGTATTTATCAAACAATATAGACTCCCATTAGCGTCATATGATGGTCTACAAGACATCATTCAGAATTTAAAGGAAAGGGGCATTATACGTCCAGTGCACAGTTCGTATAATAATCCGATCTTGGGGATTCTGAAACCTAATGGACAATGGCGTTTATGCGCTGACTTACGACAGCTAAATAAACGCGTCTATATGTCTGGTTGGCCAACACCATACATAGACCAATGTTTGGTACAAATGCAGGGATCCAAAATATTCACTGCCATTGACTGTGCGCAGGGATATTGGACTGTACCAGTCCATAATGAAGACCAATACAAATTGGCCTTCACATTTGGAAAGCAGCAGTATACCTGGACCCGTATGCCTTTCGGTTATATAAACTCTGGTCATGAATTCGCTGTGTTCATGCATAAAGCTATGCCTGACGCACTCGAGAGAGGAACGTTATCATATGTCGACGATGTCTTGCTGAAAAGCACTTCCTTTGATAAGCATATCTTAGAGATTAGACATGTTCTCACTCAGTTAAGAGAGGCAGGGATTAAACTGTCTTTACAAAAGGCACAATGGTGTCGCACCCATGTCAATTTCCTCGGACATGAGGTAACTTCTGAAGGATTAAATCCCCAGAGGAAGAAGGTTGAAGCCGTACTAAAGGCTAAAACACCTTCAAACATCAGGGAATTAAGATCGTTCCTTGGTATGACTAACTACTCCCGTAAGTTTATAGATAACTATGCAGAAATAACTAAACCACTCTTACACCTGCTTAAAAAGGAAACTACCTGGAACTGGGGGGAGCCTCAGGACCAAGCGGTAAGTGAACTGAGGAGGAAGCTCACTCAGGCACCCTGTTTAGCATACCCAGAGGGGGGTAAACCCTTCTATCTGGAGACAGGTTATACCGATTTAAGCATAAGTGCTGTTCTGTATCAGAAGCAGGACAGTTTAAACAAAGTTATTGCATATGCTAGCAAGACTTTGTCACCTGTTGAAGTTAAATTCAACACGTGTGAGAAGGCGTTATTGTCGACTGTCTGGGCACTACAAAATTTTCGTAGCTATATCCAAGGTGAGAAAATAATTGTAGAAACAGCTCACCAACCTCTACAGTATCTGCAGAGTGAAAGAATTAGAGACGGTAATCTCTCTAACAGTCGGATTACTGCATGGACTCTATCCTTACAGGGATGGCCGTTAGAAGTCCGTTATAAACATAATAAGAGAAGCCCAGTTGCCCAAGGTTTAGCAGAATTACATGACTGTACTGCTCCATCTCTGGATGATAATGACACCGGAGATGACTTCCTAGAAGAGCAATTGCTATCTCCTTATAAAGTTTATGACGAGGAATACTGTCGACCACTACCGTGGGTATACATTGATGGTTGTTCATATCACCACGTCGTTGGTGCTGAACGGAAGTTAGTTGCAGGTATCGGAATCGCCTGGACAGGTGATTATCCCAATGTATCTATAGGATACAATATTGGTCCCAAAAGCAGTCAGATAGCCGAACTCTGTGCAGTATATAAGACCATTCAAATGGCAATAGAATATGGTATCAAAGAATTTGTTATTATAACTGATTCCAACTATGTTCGCAACAGTTTCGTCGAATATCTGCCTAGCTGGAAACGTAACCAAATGCTGAAAAGCAATAACAAACCTGTTAAACATGGGAAATTGTTTTGTAAAATCGATGAGTTGGTTAAGGAAAATGGTTTAACCATATATTGGAAGAAAACCAAAGGCCATTCTAAAATAGAAGGTATTGACAAGGATGGTAATGACTTAGCCGATTCACTGGCAAAACAAGCTGCCATCAATGGTGAAACCCTAAACATTGATGATCTTATGGGTTCAATTCATGTTGAAGCCATAACTAGACGACAGGCTAGAGATAATGCCGACTTAAATGTCGTGCAATGGAGTCAAGAAGCTCCTAGTGAGGACCTGATTACTAGTCAAAAGAATGATCCCGTCATAGGCATATTCTATAGACATATAGAAGACCCTACTGCCAATCCCATCACAGATGAGGATTGCAAAGATAATGAAGATTTACGAATCTTGATGAGATATAAAGTCCAATTTAGTATCATGGATGGGTTACTGGTCAGAACTTCTAAACATGGTATACAACAATGGGTAGTCCCAACTGTATACAGAGGGTTAATGCTCCAACACGCACATGATGCACCTACATCTGGGCATCGTGGTGATAAGATCACATATGAGATATTGCGTGATTATGCATATTGGCCACACATGTTAAGGGATGTTAAGACATACTGTCAGGGATGCTTGATTTGTCCGCAATATCAACCCCATGGTCCAACCCATCGTGCACCACTTCAGAAGAGGGGGGTGTCATTACCCTGGTCTGATATTCAAATTGACTTTATAGGTCCTGTAACAAGATCTTCAAGAGGTAACAAATACATGTTAACCGTTACATGTATGTACACAAAGTGGATAGAATGTTTGCCTTGTAAAGAGAACACGAGTACCGTGTGCGCCACTTTGTTGATTAACCATGTCTTTTCCAGGTTCGGTCTGCCTCAAAGAATTGAGTCAGACAGAGGTAGTCATTTTACCAGCGAAGTAATGGCTAAGATGTGGAACATTCTAGGTGTTAAACGAAAGCTACATATTGCATACCGCGCTGCGTCTAGCGGGGGGGTAGAGCGATATAACCAGTCTATCGTTAATATTCTGAAGAAATATGTTAAGGAGTCTGGTAAAGACTGGGACATTAAATTGCCCCTAGTTTTAATGGCGATTAGAGCTACACCTAGCACTGCTACCAAATTGTCACCTTTTGAATTGATGACAGGAAGAAAGATGGTTTTACCACAGCATTTACTATATCGTACTTCGGATCATAACTTGATCAATGCTGCCACTACGCATCAGTATATCGAAGATTTGCGCAAGCATTTACAGCATGCGTTTGCTTTTGCCCAAAAGAATCTAGAAAAAGCAGCGACAGGGGTTAAGACCTATTACGATCTAAAAACCACGAAAAAGGAATATGAGATCACAGATCAAGTCTATCTGTATAACTTTGCGCGAAATCAAGTTAAGGAAAAGAAATTTTTACCTTCTTGGAAAGGGCCATATGTCATCATTGACAAAATTTCCCCAGTAGCGTACAAGATAAAAATTCCTAAGGATGGTGATTTTATTGAAAAGTGGGTTCACATTAACCAGTTGCGTGCTTGTCATCCTAAATCTCAATTAAGGATTATAGGTGTGGATTCAGATGCAGAAGGGTGAACGACTAACCTGGATGAATGCTTGATTCACGTGGTATAGTATGATGTGAAATGTTGTGATGTGCCATGATCTCATGTACGTTCATGTCATTAACCATTTCCTTGCCATCCAATAACTACATTTTATAAGCAGGTTACTAGCTTGTTTAACTGCTATAGGCAAATTGCTGAAGAGTCAGTAATAAATGTAGTGAGGGATGAAGTTATAAAAATAGAATTAGACAGAATACATATGTTGATGAATCGTAATAATGTGTTGTCCTAGGCCAAGTGATGTCACACTGTTATAAGTTTGTATGCTTAACAAACCTTGAATCATTAGTAGATAAGTCTGAAACGAGTTCCTGATCCGTGACTGTCGAAAGATGTCCAAGAAGGATGTGGCGTGTTTCTGGATCGTACTGCTCCTGTGCCAAGAGCTACGGACCGACCCGATCGCAGAGATGGGACCATCCTCCGGCATCCTGATTCAAGAGACACCAGGGTTCATCTTAACAGAGAAGAGGATCCTGACCAGACGTGTGTTCGTCAGCTTGGACCCCAAGATTTCCATCGAGAAGGCATACAACATTTCATCGATGCAGCTTCCTGAGTTACAGACTTGGTACCAGATGCACCTCCAAAGAGCACAGGACCGTGTGCGAAACATCTTGGAGCAAGCCCGGAAACCATTTGTATCCAGTTCTATTCCGATGAGCAACCGACCCAAAAGGTTCCTCACCGCTATAATTGTTGCATTAGTTTGTGCCACTGTCGGTGCAGTTGTCGCAACTGGAATGTCTGCAGCCAACTCTATTACTGTCCAAAAGCTGGATATGGAAATCTATGCGCTAAAGCAACACATTAACGATATTCATCAGGTGATAAACCAGCAAAGAACACTTCTCCAAGACGTGTTAACTATTGTGGAAGACACAGTTGTTACAACAAATTTGCATTCGGAGTTAATTGCCAAATCCACTGAGTTGCACCAAAGTCATGACTTATTTAAGCGTGAACTTCTATTTCTGCATGACCCAATATTGTTCCACACACTTGCTTTTCTTGACGAAGTGCAAACTGGAATGATCGAATTGGCAGGGGGACGCATACCTCTGTATTTTGTATCCAAGGATATTGTTCATGCGATGCTTGCCAATGTGGATGGAGAGACAATTGAGCCTATGCAATTAAACGTATGGAGATTTGCTTTTTATTGACCATACCATATGTAACTCCCAAAGACATTTTTCAAATGAAAACAATGTACTATGTAATAATGATATTATGGTTGATTGTACTAAGTGTAAAGTTCAAAACTTTTACAGGTACAAATATATACAAAAATGTTCATTCCACGCACGGGCCTATGTTAGAAATGATGTGATTGCACAATATGTCTGATAACGTCTATAGTGCTTATTCATAAGCTAAATTAATTTTGGCTATGAAATGCACTAAAGGGGGGTTATGTCAGAGTATTTATATCGGCAGACATTTTGTGCTATGATAGAAACTAAAAGTGTATATTCTGAGTCACTCTGAACAGACCAGACTCCATTTTGTTATTTCAAGTTAACAGAAAGACACTATATTTCTATCTGTAAGCTAACCACTTTCCCAGAGCTCAGGAATGCATAGTATATACAAGCCAAGTGATAAGGAAGGGGGTTGGACAGACTGTCTAATGCTAAAAGAATATAATCATATCTAAACCCAGACAATTGTGACAGAGAAGATTAAATAATTTAATTTTACTGTCTATACATATAAGGTACCATTGTATGGAAAAGGGTAAACTTAGTTCATGATCTGTCATATCAGAAATTATGGCAGGAATTGCAGACGCTAAGTCTGGACAAAATTTAAGAAACCCTTTGAAATTTTAAATTATGGCGCTATAAAGATAGGCCAAAATGACGTCAAAATAGTCACCAGGAAAAGTTAACTCTTTCCTGGATAGGTATGTTTAGTGGGACAAGACTGCCCTCTACAGACCAAATAACTAATTTGCGATCTGGAAGATAACCACACCTCTAGTGCTTCTATTGGGTTATCAACTGATGACGTACAGAGAGTCTGGCCCTTTAAAAGTTAAGACAAAGGGAAGATAGAGAGATAGAAGAAAGATACGAGAGGAGGCACATGCAAGATATGCAACGGAGAGGAGAGAGGAATTGGAAGTTTGGGGATTCCAACTCGGACAACATCTGAGAATAACACTCTACTCCTAAAACTCTAACACTTAGAATTTACTGACTTTCTAACCAACACCTCCATGCAGAGAGACTACCAATCGGATGAAATATCTACTCAACTGGTAATTATACTGGTTTCATTTAATTAAATTAAATTAATTAAAATGTATTAATAGCATTATATATGACTGGATAAAGCACGGTCAGATTTCCATATTAAGAAATCTTAGTTAACTAAGAATATATAGTTATAACCATTCCATTCTGCAGGTGGAATTAAGAATAATTATATATTGATGTGATATTATCACATGTTAGCATACCGCTGTTTTTATCCAGGTGTATTGATTTGCTCTAAATTAAGATAGATATCTTTTAGACAAATTAAAAATCTGCTTATATAATATGTAGATTCTCTTATTGGATTGTTTTCTGGAAATGGCTAATGAACTGGTTTAAATGTTATTTTATTTAAAAATACATAAGAATAGATCTTAACTACCTAGGAGATCTAGCCAGCATTGAAAGGGTTATTCTAACTGTCTGCTAAACTTTACGACCTTACGCTGCACTCTGAGGAATTCTGTTCTCTGTGTGAAAAGTTTCACTTTCAGTCCGTGTAAGCATAGTCATAAATTATAAAGTCTTGACAGAAAATGCCGTTTAGCCATTGAAACGTAATACCCATTTCTTTGTATTGCATATCATTTTATACTGAATATTCATTGATTATTGTCATGCATGTTACATATATTATTATTAATTTGTCATTATAAATAAAAATCTATTTTTATACATTGTGATATTATTATATGAAATACATTCCACTTAACACGATAAACGTTCTTTGGGATCTGAGAATTGAAATAGTGGGCAATTCTCACTGTTACTATTATTATCCCATAAATATCCCCACAGTATGTGGGTGACTATTAGTGTGTGTCTGTCAGTGTGTTTGTGTGTGTCTCTCTGTCAATGTAAGTGTGTCAGTGAATGTGTGTGTGTCAAATCAGTGACATCTGTGTGTTTGTCATTGAGTGTGTTACTGTCAGTGTGTATCTGCCAGTGTGTGTCAGTGGATGCGTGTGTGTCTGTTGGAGAGTGAGCTTAAAGGGACACTGTAGGCACCCAGACAACTTTAGCTCATTGAAGTAGTGTGGGTGCAGTGTACCAGTCCCCTTAAACCTGCAAGTGTAATTATTGCAGTTTCTCAGAAACTGCAATAATTACCTTGAGGGGTAACTCCATCTCTAGTGGCTGTCTACCAGACAGCCACTAGAGGGACTTTTGGGTGGCTAGGTGACCAAAAGTCGCCTAACTGATGCTGGACGTCCTCACCCTGTGCATGAGGACATCCAGCATCTGCTAAATACCCATAGGATTTTCACCCCTTCAGTGTCGAGTGGGGGAGGGAAGGACACGAGGGATGGGGGCACTATAGGGAAGTATAGTGCCAGGAAAACAGCTTTGTTTTCCTGGCACTATACTATTCCTTTAAAAGGAGCAGGAAAAGGTGGAGTCTAAAGAGGGTGGGTGGGTTTTTAATCAGGAAGCGGTGCGCCTTTGACTGCAAGGGGTGGCAAATTTAGATTAGGGGGGTGGCTCAGGTTTAGTCATGCCTAGGGCAGCACAAAATTAAAATACACCACTGTGTGAGTGTCTGAGTATGTGTGTGCGTCTGTGAGTGTCTGAATGTATGTGTGTCTGAGTGTGTGTGTGCACGCATTTATATATGCATACGAGTGTTTGGGTTGTTTTTTTTTGGGGTGGGAGGGATCTTGGGTGAGTTCCCACACATTTTTCCCCCAGGACTTGACCCCTGCTGTATCCCATAGAAGTCAATACAAAGTACTTATCCACATCTATAAAGCACTCCTAGATTTCTCCACAATTCTAGCCCCTCCTATATCTCTTCACTAATCCGCAGGTATGCCCCTTCTCGGTCTTTCCGCTCTGCCATGACCTTCTCCTGTCTGCTACTCACACCCGTACGGCCAACTCACGCTTGCAGGACTTCTTGCGGGTGGCTCCTTTCCTTTGGAATAGCATGCCTACAGCCATCAGGCTCTCTTAGTCTTCAATCATTTAAAAACTGCCTCAAAACCTCTTTAGAAAAGCTTATGGCCTCCCAGAGTAACTTCTACCTCACATACCTGCCCCTTGCTCTCTCCTAAAGGGCAGCACTCTATTATCTCCTCCTGCCCTGCTTCACTCTACCTCGTTTGATTGCTACCTACTTTACTGCTGGGTTTTACACCCCACCTCCTATAGACTGTAAGCTAGTTTGAGCAGGGCCCTCTTCAACCTATTGTTCCTGTAAGTTTTTGTAATTGTCTCATTTATTGTTAAATCTCCACCTTTGATAATATTGTAAAGCGCTACTGAATATGCTGGCGCTATACAAATACCAGTAATAATAATAATAATAATAATAATATGGTGACGGGGGATAAGTTGCACCTTGTGTGCACATGACTTGGATGCATTTGGACAGCAAAGGCAGATGTAAAAATTAATCATTTGATACCAGATAGAAAAAGGGTAGTGTTATTGGGACAGAGATATTTCAGACTATATGAATGGACACAGAGGACTTCCTTGCACCAATCCCTACGCATAGATTATCTCTCAATGTCCCTCATTAATACTGCTTTTCAGAGTTTGTTGTACAAACATAATTTACACTGGATACAAAAGAATAAGGTATCCAGACCTTCGCGAGCTTAGTTTCTGGAATAAGAGACTTCAAAGGTGAATTCAAACTTTAGGCCAAAATAGCCACACTGGGAAAATTCTCTAAGTCAGCTATGCATTCAGTTTGGCTACTCTGGCCTTAAATTGGAAATTCACTTTAAAGCCACCTTTAAGGCTTACTATAACCATTTCAAGAGGGGAGGGCTTTGTATTATAATATGCCCTAATGACATTGTGTAGAAGGTCACCCCTTTCAATTAGTAAACCTGTAAAAAAAAATTTTATTTACCTGAAATCCAGCACCAGGTGAAGCTCAAAGAAAAGTCTGTGATTAGACCAATTTGCCACCTCAAAGCGGGCACTCGGGCCAGTGAGGCAGGGAAAGGGTCTTTAAAAAAAACAAAAAAAATCAAATAAAGACACAGCAGGAGGAAGATTGCCCACAGGGATGGAAGGGAGGACTAGTTTCTCCTTGCAAGTGCTCTGCCTGCATAGGACGATTTATTACATATGCAGGGATAGGATAATTAACAAGGTGATTGCGCACACAATGGTAAAAGATGCTCTTGATATACACTGTCTGGTATTTCACATGCAGTGTAAACATAAAAACCATCATAGGGCAATATGTACACTTAAAATTGATAAATAAGGGGGGCGTGGCCTGACCGGCAATAGAGTAAGTCGCATCTCTCTTCAGCTCTGTGGCCCCAGCTCACAAAAGCACCAGAAAAGAGCGAAAAACACTCTGAAAATGGGGAAAACTAAAAAAATAAATACCATGGGACCCACCCAGACGGGCTCACCTGGCTGCACGGCAGGCCCCATGGACGACTTCCTGTCCACCTGGGAGACACAAGGACTGCACAGGCTCGACGCATGGACAAAATGGTGCCGGCCTCCCCCGGAACAGAGAGCACAAACAGCTCCACGCATGGTCTACATGGAGGTGAATCCCTCTCTCAAATATCTGGCAACCTCGCCACGATATCGGCAAACATGCTCTCCCGGACAGACAAGGATGAGATGCTGGCCGAACAGAACAGCCATACGGGAAGAAATTATGGAAGTGCAGAGAGACCTCACAGCCCTGGAACGCAGAGTGGAGGAGTTGGAGGCCGATAGGGCCCAGACTCAGCAGCACCAGCAAGCTTCCAATACTTCTACCACCAGGCAAGGCAATGTCATTCTGGAACTCCGCAGGCAAGTCGAAGACCTGGACAATCGGGGGATGCGGAATAACATCTGCATCAGAGGCCTCCCGGAATCTGCAGAAGAGGTACTACCAGAGGTCTTGACGGGCCTGTTTACCCACATACTCTGAGACGAGGCCCAGCTGACTTTGGAATAGAGCGGGCGCTCAGACCTCCCAACAGAGAGGGGTCCCCCGTGGGACGTGATCTGCTGCTTGCAGTCCTTCACCCTAAAAGACATCATCATGAGAAAGGCCAGGCCTCAACAAGCCATTGACTTCCTGAATGCCCAGGTGTCTCTGTTCCAAGATCTATCATCTCTTACCCTGGAGGCACGGCGGGCCCTGCGGTGGTTAACCAGACTCCTGCAAGAAAAGCGCATCCCATACAAGTGGGGATTTTCATTCAGTCTACAGGCCCGAGTTGATAACGCCTGGCACGTGGTCCGCTGACAGGCCGACGTGCCACGCTTTCTGCGAGCCACTGGCCTTCCTGCTGTTGCGGTCCCAAACTGGATCCTGGAAACCCCGCAACCATAAACCAGACCCAGGCCGGGTTCCCATAGAGATAGAACTGGAACGGGCCTAACGGGACCGGGATTCAGAAGAGGCAGCCCCGATGTCTTGGCCGGCGGGAAGGGTGATCCAGCCCCTCCCTGCGATCAGCCTTCGCCCGCGAGAGTCAAAACAACGCCTTGTGAAGCCTGCCAGTCTGAGAACAAATACCTTAATCTCCTTGTCCAGGGAATGGTCCAGGACGCTGGTTTCCGCCCGGAGGGGTATGTACGCAGGCCTAGAGCACTGGCCCACGCTCTCAGGAGGCCCACATAGAGGTGGGCAGTTTGCACCTGGGGTTTATTCCTGTTGGGTGGGAACGGGCGGATGGGGGGGATTTACACAGCCCTGCTTACCCTGGGACTGCCCATTCTCTGGCCACATGGGGGTTGCGTGGGAAAAGGTTGGGGGAGACCGAGAAGGGTCTGGGATGGGGTAGTAGTGTGCAGATTGCTTTTCCATGTTACAGTCTTTTTTATAAGAGGATTACAGTGGGGGATCCCCCCCGCACTTTTATTAGGCTGATTACTGTTGTTCTAAATAATGCTGCCGTAAAGACTCCTGGGAGATACGTGGTGTGGGTGGGTGGGCGGGAGGGATGGGCCCGGGTCTACCGGGGCACATGTGACTGGAGGGCGGTTTACAGGGACCAAAAGACAATTTTAGAAGCACATTGGGCCTTAGCCATATTCTCAACTATAATTCTACACTCAGGTGCACCCATAACACTAAGCCCATGATCGTGGGCTGGGAGCCCCGGAGCTGCCCATCACTACAGATACTTGTATTATACTCCGGAGCTTCCCCAGCCCCGCGTGACAGACTCACACTATATTTTCCCGGGAATCGGTAGGAGATGGAACCCATTAGGCCCTGACACCGCTGAACGATTCCACCTGTGACGAGTCATAGTTACCTGTTGGCACTCTCTCTAACCCCTTGAAGCTCTATGCCTCCTCACCCCCCTCGGCCTGCAGCCCTCAACCCATAATGAGAACAAATTTCACACCAGCCCCGTTAAGACTTTGGTCAAACAATGTTCAGGGCATGAATGTTCCTGAAAAATGCACCCAAATACTCCGAACACTCTGGGCGGAGCGTGTTTCTGTGGCGTTTCTCCAGGAAACCCACCTGAAGGGGAACACAGCCTCCACCCTGGGGAACAGTCGCTTCCCCGAGGGCTACTATGCCAATCACCCAGACAAGAAGAAGGCCAGAGTGGCAATAATTTTTGCCCGTACAGTGCCTTTCATATGCACAGACCAACAAGCTGACCCATGGGGCAGATACTTTTTCCTAAAGGGGACAACAGCTGGCCAGACATATACATTTGTATGCCTTTACAGCCACAACCGGAACAAACACACACAACTATAAGGATATGGATTTCTCTGCCTAAAAAGGTGGTTTTATTAGAGTCCATACAGATGTTTAAACCGCAATTGGATAAATACTTCCAAAAACACAACATATAGGGATATAATTTCTAATTAGTAGGGTAATGGCTTTATCCAAGGAGATATTTGACTGCCATTTTGGGGGCAAGAAGAAATTATTCCCTAGTTTTTTGCAAAATTGGAAGTGCTTCAAACTGGGTTTTTGCCTTCTTTTGGGTCAACAGCAAAAACATATGTGAGGAAGGCTGAACTTGATGGACGCAAATCTTTTCAGCTATGTAACTATGTAACCTTTCACACAAAAATGCTCACGCTGCTGAATCGTTTCCGAGAAGGTCTACTGATTGTGGCGGGAGACCTTAATCTACCCCTAGACCCCAGACAGGACTCCTCACGGGGAGAGTGCTTGATCCAACAACATTGTATTCGGTGGGAAGGCACTGCGGAAACTGGGACTGACAGATTGAGGGCAGCACACCCAGAAGACCGGGACTTTTCGTTCTATTCAGCAATGCACAAACCCTACAACCCCATAGACCACATTTTTATAGCACAGGAATTCCTCACGCTTTTACAAAGGGCTGACATGGGAATCATAAGGGACCTGGACCATGCCACTGTGACTGTACAGATATGCTCCCCTTTACACAAACCCAAAGAGCGACAGTGGAAACTGAATGAGAACCTGCTGACACGGCTGGAGGACACAGACTTAGCAAGACAGCCATTGACTCAATAATTTAATGCAAATGACACTCCAGACATGCCCCACTAACTTCCTGGGAAGCACATAAATGCGTAATTAGAGGGCACTAAATAAAGGTTAGCACACAACGCAAGAAGGAACACACACTCAGATTGACCGCCTTAACAAAACAGCCGACCTAGAACTCACACACAAACGAGGGCAGACCGAGGACATATTCCACCATCTGACAGAAGCGCGCAGGCAACAACGAGATCTCCTGTCCCAGGGCCTCATCCAAACCTTGAGAAAGTCCTTAAGGTTTTTCTTTGAACATTCAAATAAGTGCGGGAGACTTTTGGCGCGTCAGCTTAAAGACCGAAGGAGAGCGAGCCACATACAAAAAAACAAACCGCGGGGGAGGGGTGAGATGAGACTCCCAGACGGTATACAGCACGTGTTCAAGGACTATTACACTGAACTCTACAACCTAGCATAGTCTCGCAACGGAGACACCGCCATACAACACCAACGCGCAATTTCAGAGTTCCTAGATCGTTGACAAGAAATTAACCCCCGAAATGTCGGAGGAGCTGGAACAGCCTTCAACAATAGAAGAGCTCGGAACAGCGCTGAAGCTATCTAAACCCCACCTGGCCCCAGGGCCGATGGCCTCCCACTAACATACCTGCGCACATTTCGGGACATACTTCTCCCCAAATTCTTAAAGGGCCTCAATACGATCCAAACCGAAGGCCACTTCCCTAGGGACGCTATGGCGGTCGTGGTTACGGTCATCCCCAAGGAGGGCAAGGATCCTGCATCTTGTGCTAGCTATCACCCCATCTCACTCCTTAATGCGGACCACAAGCTGTTATGGAAGGCTATGGCCCTACGAATCTCCAAATACCTTCCCTCCCTGGTACATTCGGATCAAGTTGGATTCATCCCGGGGAGGGGGGGCTTGATAATACGACCAAGGCACTCAATGTTATTCACTTGGCCCGGTCGACCCGGCGAGAACTGTTCCTCTCCACAGGCGCAGAAAAGGCGTTCAACTGGGTCGACTGGCAATGCCTTGCGATCACGCTTAAGCACATGGGATTCAGACCCCACCTGTGCGCCTGGGTGCTTTTCCTGTACACGACCCCCACCGTACGCAAATGCATAAACGGAGCTCTCACTCTCACCTCCCCTTTCCAAATACGGAACAGCACACGTCAGAGGTGTCCCCTGTCCCCCCTCCTGTTTGTCCTCTCCCTCGAACCATTACTGGGGGCGGTCAGACGGGATGGGGGCATAACGGTGTTCTCTCTGGGACACATGGAATACTGTGTCGGAGCTTATGCTGACGACGTGTTGTTCTTCTAGGAACAGCAAACGGTCTCCCTTCCCAACCTTTTGGCACTCTTCCAAAAATTTGGAGCTATCTCCAATCTTAAACTGAACATGGACAAATCAGAGGCTGTACACCTGTCTCATAATCGGGACGCACTCTCACACCTATGCTGTCAATACCCATTCCATTGGTGCGACGTCAAGCTTCGATACTTGGGAATCTGGCTTCCAAAAGACCTTACACAGCTTTACCACCACAACTACCCCCCGCTACTCCAGACACTACAAGCAGACCTCCAAAAATTGACCCCCCCAAAAAACCTATCCTGGTTTGGCTGCATTAATGTGGTCAAAATGAATGTTTTACCCTGGATACTTTACCTCTTTCAGACCGTCCCCATAGCCATCTCCAGATCTTTTTTCTGCTCGATCTCGACAGCATTCCACTGATTCGTTTGGAGCCGCCGCCCTACGCGCATCCGGAGGGCTGTATTAGCACTCCCAAAAATAGCCGTCAGTGCAGGGCTTCCCTCTATCGAGACACACAATGGGTAGCCTTGGAGACTGTATAGAAGGCAGGATTCCCCAATGACCTACGCACAAAAAACCCTCTGATTGACGCAACTCTGGGGGTCTGGAGGACCCTTCGATACCAAAGGCAACTCACCACTGCACCCACACCTCTCACACTCATAACCAATGATCCCAACTTAGCTGACGGCCTCACCCTGGTGACCTGACTGGCTTCCAACCAACAGACTGGATATACTTGCACCAATGGTGCACCACCACCCGACTCAAGACACCGACAGAGCTCTGCCCGGACAGGAATCCGACCGCTCTCCAATAATTCCAATATCGCCAAATTAGGTCCTATTACCAGACAATACCAGGAAAGGGACACCTGCATAGGCCTCTCACGGACTTCGAACATCTCTGCACCACCCGTAAACACCTCTCACGGGGAATCTCGACCTTACATGCTATGCTCACAACAACGAAAAATACCTCTGTAGGATACACAAGCAGACGACTCTCACCACACAGGAATGGGACAAAATATTCACCTTGATACACAAATGCTCTATCAGCTCAAAGTACCAGGATCACGATGGTACAGGACGCCGGACGTCTTACACCACATGCACTCAGAGATCCCAGACACATGCTGGCAATGAGGCTCGGAGGTGGGAACGAATATCCACATATGGTGGTCGTGTCCTACTGGGAAATGATCTGCGTCAAAATCAATGAAATCACAGGCACCGAAATTGCCCTCCATCCTCTATCCATGCTCCTTCACCCTCCCGTTCCTCAACGCTGCAAAGTTCCTTATACCCACTCTTTGGAAGCGCCCTGAGGCTCCCACCCATCAACAATGGGTTGCAAGGGTGGAAGAAATATTCGCTATGGAAACACTGACAGCTGACCTTCAGATAAATGTGCTTTGATCTGGTTCCCCTGGGTGACGTATGTCT